AGAAAAAAAAGGAATAAAGCAGTGAATCAAGCAAGAAAACACAAAACCAAAAAAAATCTTCCCACAAAGAAAAGCCTGGCTTTAGATGGTTTCACTGGTGAATTATAGCAAATATTTAAAGAAATAATACAATTCTATACAATCTTTTCCAGAAAATATTCATTCTGTTTCCTATCTCATTCAATGAAGCCAATATTACCCCTAATACCAAAATCATAGTAAGACATAACAAGAAAACTACAAACTAATATCCCTCAATGAATACAGCCATACAAATCTTTAACAAAATACTAGCAAACTGAATCCAGCACCATATAAAAAGAATTACATACATGACCAAGTGGTATTTATTGCAGGAATACAAGATTGATTCAACATTTGATAATCTATTAATATACCATATTGATAAAATGGACAAAAATCACATGATCTTCTCAACAGATGCATAAAAACATGAGACAAAATCCAATACTCACTCATGAAGAAAAGCCCTTCCACAAACTAGAAATAGGAGGATACTTTCTCAACCTGATAAAAGGTGTTTATGAAAAATGTACAGCTAAAATCATACTTAATAGGAAATGCTTTCCCCTTAAAATTCAGAACAAGGCAAGTAAGAATGTGTGCCCTTGTCACTTCTATTCAATACTATATTGGAGGTTCTAGCCTGTACAGTAAAGGGTGGGGTGGGAGGAGAAGGAAAATTAAAAGCTTTCAGATTTGAAAGGAAGAAGCAAAACTTTCTCTATTTGCAGACTACACGATCCTGTATAAAGGAAATGATATGGAATCCATACACAGTAAACTACCAGCACTAATGAATGAGTTTAGCCAAGCTACAGTATACAAGATCAATATACAAAAATCAATTGTAGTTCTATATAATTAACAATGAACAGCCCAAAAATGAAATAGAGAACAAAACTGCATCAAAAATAACATGAAAAATAATAAAATATATAGGAATAAATTTAACAAAAGTAGTGCAAGCCTTGTGCACTGAAAATTACAAACTACTACTAAGAGAAATGAAAGCTCTAAATAAATGGAGAGACATTCCAGGTCCATGGACTGGAAGACTAAGTGTTATTAAGAGAGCAATTGTCCCCAAAGTGATCTCTACATCCACAATGCTTATCAAAATCCTAGCAGGATTTTTTTTTTTGGGTAGAAATTGACCCACTGAGCCTAAAATTTATGAGGAAATGCAAAAGATCCAGACAGAGTAGCCAGACGAATTTAAAAATAAAAACAAAAAACTTAAAATAGGGTTGGCCAGTTAGTTCACTTGGTTAGAGCTAATAATCCCAAGGTCAAGAGTTCAAATTCCCATCCAGGCCAGCCACCAAAAACAAAAACAAAAAACCAAAGCTATAGGACACTTAGACTGCTTGATCTCTCAACACTTACTGTAAAAGCTACAGCAATCAAGACACTGTGGTACCGGCATAAGAGGAGACATACACACCAACAGAACATCAATGGGAGTCTAGTGACTAATCCTTACATTTATGGTCAATTGATTTTTGACAATGGTGCCAAAGCAATTCAATGGGGTAAAAGATAGTCTTTTCAACAAACAGTGCTGGGACAACTGGATAGCCACATTCATAAAGATGAATTTAGATTTGTACTTCATACTATATCCAAAAATTAACACAAAGTGAATCATAGTTTTACATGTAAGAAGTAAAACTATAAAACTTCTTAAAAAAAATAGAAAAAATTTTTGTCCTCATGGATTTGGTACAATACCAAAAGCATGATCCATAAAACATGAAATTGGTAAATTAGACTTTATAAAAATTAAAAATGTTTATACTTCAAAAGACACTACTAAGAAAACGAAAAAGCAAGCCAGAGACTGGAAAAAATATTTGCAAATTATATGACTGAGAGAGAAGTTTTAAATAGACACTTCACCACAGAAGATAAACAGATAGCCAATAAGCACAGGAAAAGATGCTCAACATATTTTCAACATCCTAAGCTCAACATACAATCAATACTGATAAAAGATGCCACTTCACACCTTAGTACTAGAATGGCTATAATAAAGAGACAAACAATAACATGTGTTTAAGAAAGCCCTTATCTGCCACTGAACTGTACACTTAAAAATGGTTTAAAAGGTACATTCTATGTTATATATATTCTACCAAAATTTAAAAAAAAAATTTTTTTTTGGCAGCTGGTTGGCACAAGGATCGAACCCTGGACCTTGGTATTATCTGCAGCATGCTTTAATTAAAAAAAAAAAAAAAAATTTTTTTTTAAACCCTTACCAATATTTATTTTAAAAAAGGGGAGGGGGCAGTGAACCAAGCAGGAAAAAAACAAAAACATCTTCACACAAAGAGAAGCCCAGCTTTAGATGGCATCACTGGAGAATTCTATTAAGGAATAACACAACTTTATATAATCTCTTCCAGAAAACAGAAGAGGAGGGAACACTAACTTAATGAGTTCAATTTAAATGTATAATTAAAGGCATCATGATTTACTTTTTGCAGAAAATGCATTATTAAAGTATAAAAGTACTGGAATGGAAGTGTTGAGAACTGTTCTAATCCAGACTTTGTTAACAACTAGTTGTGTAATTTTTGTCAAGTTACATTATCTTATTGAGCATCATATTTACTTATTTGTAAACAGGGAGGTTCACCAGAGAAATCCTTTCCATCTGTATGATATACTTCTATAGTATATGTTACATATTGTAACATATTTATTTATTTATTTTTTAATTTAATTTTTTTTTTGTCCTTTTTGAGACCGGCCACACTGCACTCAGCCAATGAGCGCTGTGAGTGCACTGGTCATTCCTATATAGGATTGGAACCCGCGGTGGGAGCGCTGCTGCCAAGCGCTTTCTTAAACACATGTTATTGTTTGTCCCAAGTGCGCCATGGGCTCGGCCCGTAAGATATTTAAATAATAACATATTTAAACAATTTTGTTTAAAACTTTCCCAATCCTAAACTGGTATAACCCTATGGAATTATATGGCAACATGTAGTAAAAGCCAGTTCATACTCTGTGGTAAAGTATTTCAATTTTGGATATTTACCTTTAGGATTTAATTCAAATAAAGCAAAAGAACACATAAAAAGATGGTCACTGTAACGACTCAGATGTCCAACAAAAGTGAAATAACAGTAACACAAAGAAATTTTAAATTACTAAAAACTGGTATAAAGATGATTGTAGAAAATACTTGGGTTAGGTGAAGAGAATCGGAATATAAATTATTTCAACTATGAAAATATACACAGTATATAAATATATGCCAAACAAAGGGTAATTTGCACTAATGTAAGTAGTATTAGGGTTTTGAGTCTACAGATGGCTTTTTTTTGTTTGTTTTTAATTGCAAAGTCGTTTGTAGTGTCGATACATTATATACAGAAAGGGAAAACAAAATCACATACTTGTCCAAAGGTAGAGATACAAAGTCACACTGATAGCTACTCTTGCTTGATTAATGTTTCTTAAGAGTGGTCATGAACCTAGGGTTCTCAGTAGACATCTCAGAGATTACAACTTTTATAAGTTTATATTGGAATTACCAACAGTATTTCACTTGTTCTACTCAGTGTTGAGGTAAAGGATGTAAGTCTGTAATTTTCAAAGTAGCCATTAAAATTTGGATATAATATAGAACAGTTCAAAATCCTTATGCCTGGCTATTTATTAAGGACACTTCCTTTCAAGTTCTCAACTTAAAATTTCCCAAGCAGCTTTCACTTTTAAGTGTATCAGTCACAAAACTATTTGAATTACACAACCACTAACGTTCCTCTCAACTACGTACGGCCAGTGGAAGGAAGGGAGTGAGTGTCTAGCTTCTTGATTTTCCTTCCTATTCTTATGGCTACACCTGCTAGGATGAGAATTTCACCAGGAGCCAGTCTCAGCATTCCTGAGGTCAGCAGAGAGAATACTTAAAAACATAAATCTAATAGCAGTAGGTTGAATCATATGAAATTGTTTCTGTGGGTCAAAAAAGTCAACCATTGGTAATTTTGACCTATGTCATTACCTTCGTATTAAGAAAAATGTAAATTTCCATAAGTATATCTATTTATTTAAAAACATTTTAGGACAAGATAAATAACTTTATTAGCTTCTTGGTACAGTTTTACTTTGGTTTCCCTGGTCTCTGTAAGTCTACTAAAGCTCTGCTACTATATTTTGATTTTTGATTAGAAAAAAACCATAAAATTTTCTTTGTCATTTCTTTTATTACAAGGATATCTAGTCTTTTTTTTTTTTTGTACTTTGAATTGTCCTTCCACTTAAAACTTTTTGTTCTCTTTGAGACTCTGAAATCACTGTCAAGGCCTCTGTCCTTAACATTGCGAATAATGAATGCTCTTACATGAGTCATTATTTTTAGAACTAGAATTTTAAGCAATCAGTTTTTGTATGTTTGTATTAATATGCCAAAGTCATAAGTAAAACCAAGAAGTTTTTTTTTCTTTTTTTCTTTTTTTTCTAAAAGATGACCGGTAAGGGGATCTTAACCCTTGGCTTGGTGTTGCCAGCACCACGCTCAGCCAGTGAGCGAACCAGCCATCCCTATATGGGATCCGAACCCGGGGCCTTGGTGTTATCAGCACCACACTCTCCCGAGTGAGCCACGGGCCGGCCCAAAACCAAGAAGTTTTTAACAGCAGCCAACTAACAAACAAATATTAGAATTATCCCATTCTAACTCAATCCCTGACAAAATCCTGTTTCTCTTCACAACACTTTCAGAGAAATCAATGCTTTTTCCACTTCCAATTGAAATCAACCCCATTTTAAGAACATCTTACCGGGGCTGGCCCAGTGGCGCACTGCTACAGTGCGCCGCTTGGGAAGTGTGGTGGCGCTCCCACCAAGGGTTCGGATCCCACATACAGACCGGCTGCTCACTGGCTGAGCAAGGTACGGGAGCAACACCGAGGGTTGCGATCCATTTCCGGTCACAAAAAAAAAAAAAAAGAACATCTTACCTGAAACTACCATAGACTATAAGAAGAATGGAAATCAGAAATGTAGACACTTGACTGGAATCCACCAGGGAATAGGCCCTAGAGAAATAAGAGGAAAAAAATTTAAATCACATGCAGCAAGTCCTCATGGAGCTTACAGTCTGAGTTCTACGAACTCCACTTAGCTTTGTTTTTGTCTTCGAGAAGAAAAAAAGGTGTAAATTAGCACAAACAAAATAACTTAAGTAAAATGAGACTTGCTAGCTTAACATGAAGAATAAATTGATAAGTTCACAGATATTATTAGCTAATATTCACAGGATTTTAAATATCAATATAAAAATCCCACCTCTGCATGATATACAATATACATTTATAAGATCTACCCCCAATTTAAAAAGTATCAAAATATCTACCAAATCTGTGCCAATGACAAAAAGTCTCAACAATTAAACTTTTTATCAGTTTACACTTGAATCACTAATAGTATTTTACTGGTTTTACTCAGTGATGAGGTAAAACCTGCATATCTCTTCTCAATTTCATTTCCATTTTTCTAATTGCCTATTGATGGTCTCCATCTGGATGTCCTGGAGGAGGTTCTTCAAAGTCAACAGGTCCAAAACTAAAGTCATTATTCTTCCCTTCATACCTGATCCTCTCAAGGAATGGTATCACCATCCCCTCAGCTGCCAAAGCTAGAAATCTGCTGTTGCATTCTTGACAGTCTCCTCTCTCACTTTCCACATGTAATGACAGTCAGTGAGTCCTACAATTTCTACATCCCCAATTACTCTGCTTCTCCCAATTCCACTGCCAGTTCCTTAGCTCCTTTCTATAGCTTGGGTTTTCACTGAGACTTTTTCAAGTCTCTCTCCACGAGTTCACCCTTCCACATTACTCAAGCTTCTTTGTTAGAGATCTTCCTAAAACGAATCTCTTAATTTTTCTCCCACTTGTATTTAATGATGCCTATGTACCAGGCACTCTGCTAGCCACTGGGGATATAATAACAAACAAGACTGCTTTGGGTCCCTGACTGAATGCCTTTTCTAAAAAAAAGTGAAAAATTTCATTCTAAAAAAGTGAAAACAAAAAATTAACATAAGTAAGTGAATATCATCATGGAGAGTGTTACAAAGGGGAGAAAGACAAGTACAAGGTACTATGAGAATGTATGGTAGGTGGACCCCATCTAAGAACAGGGTAGGGGGAACTTTCTTTAGGGAGGTAGATGAATTAGATACAAGACATAATAAACAGGACTTGGTGATTGTTTATGGGAAGCAAGAGAGGGAGGAATCAGCAATGATTGCTAGGTTTCTGCTGAGAAGCTGGGTTTGTACGATTTGGCCACAAAAAAGTCAACTTAGAAGGAGCAGAATCAGAATTAAATTTTGAATGCACTGAAGAGACAGTTGGATATTTAGGTAAAGGGCCCAGAAGCAGCTATGGCTAAATATATATCCTGGGAGCTCATCACTTTCTACATGGTCACCAAAGCCAGAGGTGTGAGTAAGAGTGCCTAGCAGCAGTAAGAAGGATCAAGGCCTGAGAAACCTGCAAATGTAAAAATGAGCTAGAAGGAGAAGCTACAAAGAAAACCAAAACGAAATAGAGAAAGAGGAAAAAACCCAGGATAGCAGGGTAAGTGTATTGAAGAGGCAGCAGGAATGAATAATGCCTGAATTTAATCCTTTGGTTTACCACTTACTATTAGCTGAACTAGTTACTTGACCTCTCTAACTTCAGCTTTTTCATCTGTAAAATGGGGACAATGACAACACCTACCTGAATGAATTATTAAATAATTAAATGAGTAATTTATATAAAGAGCTCAACACAGCAAGTACTCAATTAATTTTCACTGCATTAGAAGGGAGAAGTCACCTATGCTGAATGCTGTGGAGAGGTCAAGTATGATAAAAACTGGTGTTCAGTGGATTTATTTCACATGTACTAGTAACCTTAGCAAGAACAGTTTTAATGGAGTGGTGGGCATGGGAGTCAGACTGGAATCGGCTGAGAAGTTAAAATTAAGGAAATGGACATAGTTTTTTGAAATGTACAGGGAAGAGAATGATAGTTGGAGGGAAATGTAAGGATAAGGGAGGCCTTAAAAAAAATTTTTTTTTAAAAGATGGGAGATACTCAATTTCCCAGCAAGAGAGTGGGTAAGGAAGGGAGATAGGATAGCCACCCGAGCCTCTATCCTAGTCTCTATACAACAATGCAGCTGTGGCTGGCCAGTGTGTTCTCTTTCGGACAACCAGATTATGGAGACAGTGCTTAAACACTAAGAGATACCCGCGACAGCACAGTTCTTATATTAGGAAAATGGACTTCATCAACTTCTCTTTATTCTAAAATTGTTTCTTTCTCTGACATAATCTTTGCACATATCTTTCAAAATTCTGAAAACAAATGAACTGTTTATAAGGAACATTTTCTTAAAATTAAAAATATTTTTGACTAGGTCATATATAAAAAGATACACATATAGAGGTCTCGCTCCCATCTAGTCCTCCCCCACTCCCCACTCATTTTAAAATAACCACTCTTATTAGTTTCTTGTATAGCCTTCTGGAGTAAATATACAATATAAACCAACACATATTATTGCTCACAGTTTCTTACACAATACACAGGATATTGAATACACTTCTCTGTATCCCTCAGCCTCTCATTTACAATATAGCCTAGAGATCTCCCTATATCAGCATGTGGAAAACTTATTTTTATTTTTATTTTCTTTTAAACATCTGCAAAGAGTTCCACTGTGTGGATATACCACAGTTTTGTTTTTGTTGTTTGTTTTTTTAAATAAGTCCCTTATAGATAGACACTGGAGTTGTGTTTTAAAATTCTGCTGTTACAAACAATTCTGTAATAAATAACCTTGTAAAATTTACCTGCATTGCACACACATAAAATGACATATTTGTGTAAGGTTCCTAAAAGTGAGATTGCTTGATCAAAGAGAAAACGCACTTGCAATGTGACATATGTTGTCAAACTGCCCTCCAGAGAGGTTATACCATTTCACTCTTACTAGTAATGGAGCAGAGTTCCTGTTTCCCAAAGCCTTGTCACCTTTGTCATCAGTGAATGTTGTCTACCCTTTGAATTCTTACCAATCTGACAGATAAACATTGGTATCTCGGCATGGTTTTCATTTGCATTAATTACATTTTTGATATAATTAAAATTTAAAAATTAATTTAAAAAGTGAGATTGAGAGATGTGGATGATGTGGGGGGTGGTTTGGGGAGAGATAGGTTGGGTAAAGGGCATAAAGAAAAATCATGATTTGTAATAATAATATGCTTATAATAAATAATATTTAAAAAAACAAATTACAAATTGTAAAAAAATAGTGAGATTGAGCAGCTTTTCATATGAACAAGGGCTAGTAGATATTTTTAAAAGGCAATTTAATGTTTTTTTTTTCAGACAGAGTTATAAAAAAGAAAGGCAGCTTTCTTCTGAAGAACTTTTCTTTTGATGGTGTTTTACTTAGATAATATGGTTTGTTATAATTCAGAATTATAATTCTGGGCCGGCCCGGTGGCGCACTGCTACAGTGCGCCACTTGGAAGAGCGGCGGCGCTCCCGCTGAGGGTTCGGATCCCACATACAGACCGGTTCCCGCTCACTGGCTGAGCGAGGTGCGGGCGCGGCACCAAGGTTTGCGATCCCGTTGCTGGACACGAAAAAAGACAAAAAGGAAAAAAAAATTATAATTCTGAAGTGTAATTAAAGGCAGATTAAACATCTCAACTTCCCAAATTCAAAATCTTAAGGTTTGATACTTTACTGTTGTTTAACTAGTTTGCTACATCTCTGAAATCAAAGGAGACTCTCCATAAACTCATCACATGTAAGACTTCTGGAAGTCTGGACTGAAGTTTTTAAAAACCTGCTCCTCCTTCCCCACAGATCCTCTGTGTTGTGCTCTACTCTGTGTGGCTATAGTCATTGACTTTCTCTATAGTCTGTTTTTCTAGATAGATGAGGGATTGTCCATGTGCAAAATACCACATGAAGAGGCTGATGAGGGTTACCAGTTCTCATCTCCATATTCTGGCAATGAGCATGCCATCCCCTGCAGAACTAAATACATGGTTTCAGAAAAAATTTTCTGATGTTTAATGGTTTTGTTTAGACTGAACAATTCTGTTTTAACCTTCAAGTAAATCTACACAAGAAAATCTGGCTAATGCTCACTCCTAACATAGTCCATGGTATTTTATAATTTATAATAACACCTTAAAAAAGTTATAACAACATGGCAGACTGTACCAAATATCACATAATTAGAAGTTATAACTTATTTCATGGTGTTGCTTGATATTTCATATCTTTTCAATTCAAACTACCATTATAGAAATCTTACAAAAATCCTTTTAACAAAAAGAATTTATAACAAAATACAGGACATGGATTTAATTTAATTTTAGCCCATTTTCATTTTAAAAACACTATCAACTTTCTTTTTTAAAATTACAAAAATAATTCATGCTCATTGTAAAAATTCAAATAATGGGTAAGCATATAAAGCAGAAAGTACAAGTGCCTCTTCTCTCCTCCTCTCTTTGTACTTCTGTTCCTTAGGAGTAGACATGGTTTACAAATAGTGTGTAGAGAATGTATACGCTCTATAAAAATTGGAAACAAACACGTGCTTTTAAAATTTGCTCTTTTTGGGGGGGGGGGGCCGGCCCAGTGGCGCACTGCTACAGTGCGCCGCTTGGGAGCGCGGTGGCGCTCCTGCCGAGGGTTCGGATCCCACATACAGACCGGTTCCCGCTCACTGGCTGAGCGAGGGGCAGGAGCAACACTGAGGGTTGCGATCCCGTTGCTGGTCCCGGTCCGGTACGGGCGCGACACTGAGGGTTGCGATCCATTGCCGGACACGAAAAAAGACAAAAA